GGGATTCTGACCAAAGCTTGTCACAGACATTACATTAGGACACCAGGAGCTAGCTTAATTGTTGAAATAGGGTATAATATGTCTCCTTTAGAGTCGCAGCTTCCTGTGGCAGATTAAAACGTGCTCCCAGATTACGGGCCAAAACGGCGGCAGATACTACGGCGTGGATTTGCGAGGGGCTGAGGAGGGATTTAAAACACCATCTCTGTGCTGGGATGAGGCCGAGGCTGCGTTGCTAGGTAGAAGATGATGGGATTTATCAGACGGCGTGTGAGCAGGGGGGGGGGGGCGTGTTTGGTCCAGCCTCCAGACAGATTCAGACTACTCAAATCTTAATAAACAGGCTTTATTATACCTCAATGGTACAAAAATAACTTCTGTAGTAAAACACAATGTGTAACAACCAGGGACTAAATGATAGCCCTCCTAAAATACAGAAATAAAATCAAATAATGTTATAAACATGACCTCTTCTGGATTAGAAAATTCAGGTTAAACAAGCTACATTAGCCCTACTTTAAAATACATAAATAAATCAAATACTGTTCTAAATATGACCTCTTCTGTAATAGAAAATAAGCTTCAACAAAATACTTCTTAATATCCTCTATTAAGAAGACAAGGATAGGTCTGTGTGTGTGTGTGTGTGCAAAGTGCCAGTTGATTAACAGTGAAAACATTTTCAAGAATTTATAATCCGCCTCTTTTTACAGGATGTTAAAAGTGGACATGTCCGGGCAAAAGAAGACATTTGGACCCCAAAAACCAGCTTCAAAAGCCCCAAAAACTGTTTTAAAAGCCCCCCCAAAAACTGTTTTAAAGGCCAAAAAAAACAGCATTAAAGGCCCCAAAAAAGAGTCTTAAAGCCCCAAAAAACAGCTTTAAAACCCCAAATTTTGGTAATTTTGGGAATTTGTGTTCTTCCTCCAGGTGAAACAGCTTTTGGAGGCTACGTCCTTAATGGAGGATGTCCAGAAATGCCCCAAATGTCCCGACCAGACCAGAATCTGAAGTCCAGGCTGCATGCAGAGCTTGTTGTGAGCTATCTGAAGCTTTTTGTCACATCTGACAGCATCTGTGAGTCATCAGATACACAGAAGCCCTGTGGATCTTTGGCCATTATCTGAGAATGCTTTCACTCATGTCACAGTTGTTATGTGACCAGAAATGCTGCTGCATGCTTCAGTCTCATCGTTTTGGTGGTTTACCAACAACAAATTCTCTCATTTTTTGCATCATTTGGGAATTAATGGAGGTAAATTGTCGGTAATTCCAATTGGTGCAAGTCTTTGATTGCTTCAGTGCTCATTTTTCCCAAAAAAATAATAAATGAAAGCCTCATATTAGACATTTCAAGCAAAGCCTCATTGCTAAAGAAATTTTTACAAACAGCATTCAGGAACATCATTTCAATTTGGAGCAGAAGTTAGAACAACATACTTTAATTTTTCCAAACTGTGGACTCAAAAGCTAACCAGTGCTATCTAAAGCTTTAAACGCCCCCCAAAAAACAGCTTCAAAGCCCACAGACACAGGAGAACATGCAGACTCCACCCAGAAAGGTCCTGGTTCCCCCGGGACTCCAACCCAGAACCCTCTGGTCCTGTGAGGATATGGTGCTAACCAATTAAGCTAAACCAAACAAAAAAAATCCAAAACACAACAAGAAAATGAAAAAAAGGACACAAAAGACACAAAAATACAGCGTTTGATGATGTGACAAACCCATAAATTCAGGTTTTAGTTAGACATCTTGCTAAAATATCTGGTTTGTTTGTGTGAATCAGATCATTTTTGGATATCCTGCTAAATCTCAGAGTCTCCAGTGATTCCTCCTGAATAAAACGGCCTGTGTTTTGGGAATAGCTCGGTCGGTGGGCTGTTTCAGCAGTGCCTCCTGTGGTCCTGGCTTTGTTTGGGGCTGAGCGGTGTTGTGGGGGGGGGCTGAGTGTTTTTGAGAAGTGCCCAGCAGGAAGAGGCTGTCCTACTTATTCCTGACTAAACGGGTCACACATCAGCCGGGACTCCGGTGGAACGGGAGAGGAACGCTGGAATTCCAGTAAAACGCGTCCCGGAGGCGTGCTCGGCCTCGTTACAGACCGAGGGTTTAACGTCTTCCTTTATTTGTTTAGTTATCGTTTAAAAACGCACGCGTCCTGAGGGGGTCCCCCCCCATCATGTCACATTTAAGCCATTTTGTGTCTCCTCTCGCTTGGTTTTCCACCCTCTGTTTCTGACATCTCCTCCCCTCTTCCCTCCTCGCCGGTTCACCGGTTGCCGTGGCGACGCGGCGGTGCTCGCCGGTTGCCAGGGCTCGTCTCCCTCTCCACGAGCGCAGCATCCCTCCCACTGCGAGCTCTGGGATGTGGGATGTGGGAAGAGGGTGATTCTGGGAGGAGAAGCGGGATGCAGTACCCTGTCTGGCCACCGGGGGGAGCTGGAGGCCTTCTGGAGGAAGGCCACAAAACCAGGAGGACCTCCAGAAAACCAGCGTAGGAGATGATGAAGGAGAGCCAGTGGATGATGAAGGAGAGGTGTTTTTTATTTAAAGAGATAGACGGTTTTTCTCATTATGAAATCTGAAAACAGAGATTTCCTGAAAGATGAAGATAAATCCAGAAGTTTTGCGTCCTTTCTTTGAGGACTCTGTTCTGTTGTTCCTCTTTCTGAAGGACCTCACTTTCAGATCCTCTCATCTGTTGGATTACAGAAGTTTTTTTTGCTGACAAAGAGCCCGAATATCCCCTTGAGTTAGGGGCCTTTTTCCTCAAAAAAGAGGCTCAACAAACATTAAAATTGGATTAACAATAAGTGAAAAGGTGAAAAGAGTCCACACAAAAACCCCTGAAAGAGTTCAGAAAATCCTGGATCAGAGTCACTAAAGAACACTTTAAAGGACGTCTGACTCATCCCTTGAGTTAGGGGCCTTTTTCCAGAACAAAGCAGCTCAATAAACATTAAAACTAGACTAAAAATTGGTGAAAAAGTAGAAAATGTCCAAGAAAAACCCTGAAAATAGAAAGAAATGAAAGGTGGATGAAGACTGTTTAAATCGTCTTTATGCTTCTTTTCATTGTGAGTCTCCAGTTTAACCTGCAGAAGCTGGCTCATCCCTTGAGTTAGGGGCCTGACATGCAAAACCCTGTAAATGCCTAAACATGAAGTTTTTCTAACGTACAAAGTGAAATTCAGTCAAATATTCGACTCAACAGCCAAAGTAAGTTTCCAAAGATACATTGAAGTCATAGAAAAAAATATATATAAAATATAAAAATTCAATAAAAATAAATAATCTAAGTTAGTTTAAAGTTCAGGTAGTAAAGTCAGAGTGAGTTAGGGTTGGTCCTGTATCTCAGTCTCTACCTGCCAATAAAAACCCTTTTTATTAATTATTTCTTTATCATTTATTTCTTTTTCCATCTCTCTTCTAGAAGTCATTTGTTTTCTTGCTATGTGTAATTATCTGCAGTATTTATTAAGGAGTTATCGTAGGTTTTTGGAACCAATTCTAGGAATTACAGAGTATTCTGATGGAAGATTTGAACCAACATCCCAATATTTAACACAGAAGTGGGTCCTGGGACCGGTTAGATCATCTCTAGAGGCTCTGCTGTGTCCTGAATGTGGATCTGCTTACGTTAAGGTGAGAGGTGTCCCGTCCACCCAGGTCCACTGGCCCTCCAGGCCCCCGTCGGAAAGCCCGATCCACACCTCCTTATCGCTGCTGTACAGGCCGTTCACGAAGGTCTGCGAGGAAGAAGAGGCTCAGCATTAAAGGAGACATATTATACCCTATTTCAACAAGTTAAGCTAGCTCCCTGGTGTCCTAATGTAATGTCTGTGACAAGCTTTGGTCAAAATCCCATAAAGGTTTTGCTTGTTTTGAGCTGAGATCCGCAGGAATGCCGGACAAAAAATTGGATCCTGGTTCCTGGATAGCAAACAGTCCACCTCCCTTCACACCCCCTCTCAATTAAAGTCCATTTTAATTGGATGTGAGCTGTTCCAACCACACATTTGAAGGAGTCATATTATACCCTATTTCAACAAGTTAAGCTAGCTCCCTGGTGTCCTAATGTAATGTTTGTGACAAGCTTTGGTCAGAATCCCATAAGGATGAAGCCCAATAGCAGTT